GACCCAGATCATGCAAAGCAGCAGCAGATCAGGAGCTAAAGTCTTTTCCCCTTTCTGTCTTCTGCTAGCTTTTATTCCCTCCATTGAGTTGGGCCTATATTCATGCAGTATCAGCAGAATGATGATACTATTGGAAATCAGTATCATCAGAGGACAGCTTAGCAAGACAGAGCTGGTTCAAGAGACAAAACCCTAGGATTGGAGAGATAGTACAATATCTCTGCAAGTGAGGCATTTGACTTGCATGTGGTCAACCTGGTTCAATACTTGTCACCCCATATGATCACTTGACTTCCCATTACTCATCAATTTGCTCAAGCGGGCGCCAGTAACACCTCCATTCGTCCCTGTCGTGTGCTAGTGTAACCCAATGGCATCTGTTCGTCCTAAGAACATGAAGAGCCTCAAACCAGTAAATACAATGAGTCACCCCATAGGATTCTCCATAAAAAAATTTACATGATTGGGCATACATAACAATGCACCAATAAGACTATATTTACAGAAACAAGCAGTGGGCCAGTTAAGTGCCAGAGCCTTGGTTTGTTAATTGTGGTCAAGTCAGCCACCAAATAGCTAAACTACATTGGAATGAGAAATAAAACTTCATGCATTTCCATAGTTTCATACAATATCACAATTCCACTAATACCAGTTGAGTCAGAGTTATTATTTCCACCCATGTGCAATTATTCTCTTGTGAGACTTACCCCTATTCTCTTATAAGACACACTCTAACTTAATGTGACCTTTTATGTTCAGCCCTTCTGTACCCACCAAGCATCCTAGACTGCTCCATCTCTCAGGAATCAGCTTCTGGCACATGAGACATTTATCCTTACAAAATATTAACCTCATCCAGCACCAGGGACCACAGACTTCAGATGTTAAAAACATAGGCTTGCACATCTGACTAGGGTTTTCCTTCTTCTTTCACTGTTTCCCTGCTCCAACGTGCAGGCAACATCCAAGCATCTTTTCTGCTTATGGAATTTGGTTAAGTCTTTCAAAACTAAATACTGTTTAAACAGAATGGGAGACTAACACCCAAGAACAGTTGAGATAAGTGCCAGGAGATTTGCTCCACGGCTTGGAAGCTGGAAGCACATGCTTGGGTAAAAGCAGCTCAGATAGAGAAGGGAACACCAAGTAAAGGGTGTTTGGAGGATTTGCTCGGAATGGGAGATACGTGCTGAAAATAGACTATAGACTGAGCATGATGCCACTCAATACCTCTATTGCAAATCACAACACTCTAAAGGATAGAGAGAGAAAAAGGGAATGCCCTGCCACAGAGGCAAGGCAGAGTGGGGGGGAATGGGGTGGGGGTGGGTGGAAGCGTTACTGGGATCATTGGTGGTAGAGAATGGACATTGGTGGAGGGATGGGTACTTGATCATTGTATAACTGAAACCCAAGCACAAAAGTTTGTAAGTCTACAACTGTACCTCATGGTATTTCACTAATGAAAACTTTTTTTAAAAAGACCTAAATACTGTTTATATAAAACATATAGGTAGATTCATTCAGAAAACTGAATCATGAAATATTATAAAATAGTTGTAAGGAATGATGGAATTATACAATTTGCTCAAATATGAATAGAACTGGAAGTTAACATACTGAATGAAGTAAGCCAAAAGAAGGACAAACACAGGATGATAGCACTTACATATGTATGTAGAGTAACTGGATGAAGAAATGAAAGGGTTTAAAGGGGGGGGGGGATGCCTAGATCACTCTTGACCCTAGAGTATAGGAGGAGAAGGAAAGAGCTAGAGTGATGGGGAAGGGGAGAAGAAATAGATGAGAAGCAACAGGGGCAGGGGACAAGAAGAATCAGTTATATGGGTGGTGTTATAAAGAATGCTAGAGCTAAATATACAAACCATAGAGTCAACAGCTAAAATCATGAGACCCAAACTTCAATAAGCAAACATAAAAGATAGGAATGGACCCGGGGGGAGGGCGGGGGATGTAAAGAGAGGGAACCTGAGAACATTGGTGAAAGGAAGTTGACACTGGTGGTGGGATCAGTGATAGACCATTGTTGGTCAAAAACCCAACTATGAATAACTTTGTAACTCACGGTGCTTTAATAAAAAAAAATTGAGGGGGGGGAAAGAAAAGATAAAGAAAAATTTTCATTTCCAATAGCATTAACACCAAATAAACTACTGGGATAATTAAAAAACCATTAAAATTAATCAATAAAAATACAAAATAATAGCATAGCGAGTAGGGTGTTCACCTTGCATGTGGCCAACCCGGGTTCGATTCCCAGCACCCTATATGTTCCCCTGAGCACCACCAGGGATGATTCCTGAGTGCAGAGCCAGGAGTAACCCCTGTGCATCGTTGGGTGTGACCCAAAAAGCAATAATAATAATAATAATAATAATAATAAAGTAAAAGTAAAGTAAAAAGTAAAGGTCCTCCCGTTGATCATCGATTTGCTCGAGCGGGCCCAGTAACGTCTCCATTGGAGACTTTGTTGTTACTGTGTCTGGCATATCGAATACGTCACAGGGAGCATGCCAGGCTCTGCTTTGCAGGCGAGATACTCTCGGTAGCTCGCCGGGCTCTCCGAGAGGGGCGGAGGAATCGAACTCGGGTCGGCCATGTTGGCTGCGTGCAAGGCAAACGCCCTACCGCTGTGCTATCGCTCTAGCCACCAATAATAATAATAATAATAATAATAATAATAAACATAACATTAAATAGTCAGCTTTCTGTATTTCAATTTTTCACCATATACTTTACATTTACCACTTCTGACAACCTTATCTCCGTTGCGCAAAGACTGTGCCTTTATCTCCCAGATTCTGTGGCTCCTGGCACAGGCAAAGAAAGCAAGCCAAAGGTGCTCAGAAATTCATGTGGTTGATTGTTCATTAACATGAACAGACATGGAATAGACATGATGACCACAGTTGTAAGTTCTGGGAGCTCTGTCGTAAAACTCATACATTGAAGGTTTCTTTTGTGAAACCATGGACTAGAGAGTGGGCTGAAAACCATTAGCATTTGCTCTCAGTTCTTCTCCCCTAATTGAATGGGTCTTTTGACTTCAAGGTTAGTTATTCCTCTTCCAATTCCCTCAGGGAGAGTGCTCTCCCTTGAGACAGTTGGTCATTAGTATTCCATGTTCCTTTGCTCTCTTGAAATAAAGGATTTTTTTTTTAAGGAGACAGAGGATCTCATGGCCTGATTTCATCCTCAGTGCCTCAAAAGCTTTGAGAATAAAGCCACAGGGGACAGTGCAGAGGCACTTCAGAAATCAATCTGCTTTTCCACAATAGCTTCAGAAAGAGGTGTGAAACCTGGTCCAGGAAAGCCTCCAAGTCCTCTTTTTCATGTGGAAGTGGAGACAGCTAAGCCATTGCAAATCTGAGTGTCCAGACACATGGAAAGGAAGATCTCTGCCTTCTAAACAAATCGGAATCAAATTTCAACTGGAGAGTTTTGATGCTTGAATTTTCTAGAACTGAAAATAGCAAGCAGAGTGACCCATGCAAAACTATTTGCTCATCCCCCCCAACATCCCCAAAACACATACACATTGGTATTAATAATTAAAAGTATTAATAATAATTAAAATTAATAATTAAAAGTATTAATAAGTACTAATAAATGCTTGGTACTATACTATTGCTGACTAGGTGCTAGGCACTATTGTCAAGCTTTCCGTGTAGTATTTGATCTTTGCAATGGCCCTAGGAAGTAATGTGTTTATTCCCACTTATGAGACAACCCAAAGCACAGAGAAGGTAAGTACGTTGTGAAAGGCAACACAGCTGGTAACAGTGGATGGAGGGATTCAGATAAAGGCAGTCCAGCAACAGCGACCTCGTTTAGCTTCTCCACAAGCTATGCTCCTGTGCAAATACATCCTACCTTTAGCAACCAGCCAAGTTGTCTCCTCTGTATTGTTAAACCTACAGACACAGAGGGTGAGGTCTAGATAGAACAGAGGCAGTCCTGAGTCCACTTTCTTGCTTTGCAGTGGAAAGCCTAGGGAAAGGTTTAGGATGCATTTCCAAAGTCATGCAACCATCCAATAAAAATGTCAACACCAATTCTGGCAGGCACATTCCTAACACAGTACCTATTCACCACCTTCCAGAGACTCCCACCAAATTGAACAATGAATATTTTCATACCGCCAGAAACATTGGCTAAACACATGGTCCTTTCCCCAGTGATGCAAATACCCTGTGAGAAAGCAGGGAACCAGACATTAACTTATTGTGCGACTTCCACATAATCACAAGTGAGGGTCAAGCCCCGCATCTGTCAGCTCCACCACAAGGACAACTTGCACCAAGCTATTCACCCCCTGCCTGGTTTTCCTTGAGAACAAGTGCACATCCTAGAAAGATGGCTGGTTCGAGGTCCGGCTGCAACCCAACCAAATTTCCCTTCTGTGGGAAAATGTGAGCCTCGTGGAAAACAAAGTCATGAGTAAAGACTAGTAAGGAATCACCGGAGCAGAGCCAAGAGCTTAGCAGAGCTGCTCAGGACAGACACAGTCACAAGACCCTAGGTGACACTGACAATGGCCCAGAGAATCACAATTTTAAACCCCACCACCCATAGCAGCAGAGTGAAGCAAGCTGGGAGAATAACAACAGGTGCAAAATTGGTTCCTGCTCCCCCCTCGCCCCTCCTCCCCCCACATACACATAACAATCATGGCCATCCTGCCACTGGGCCACCCCCTGGACACACTCTCCCTCTAGGGAGTCATAGAGAAGACCAAGATGGTAACCAAATTGGAGGCAGAGGGGTGGTACTCATTGTCCTGGCGAGTGGCACATCCACCCTTATGGCATGTCCTAAAAACTTTACATTTTTCACTCACTGAATCTACATTACAAAGGACATCAAGGGACACAGAGAGCAGAAACATACACAGGCCCCTACCTTGGAGGGGAAAAGGGGGGGGGGGGGGTGGAGACCGTGGAGGACACGCTGCTTCCCGCCCACTGGCTTCCTACCTGCTTCCATAAGTTGGCACTGCTGGCCGAAGACGTGGGAGAAGGTGACGGGGCCTGTGGTCTTAGTGGAAGTGGCCACTGTGGACTCCATGGCTCCTTCCTGGTCTGGGGTGTTGGTCATCAGGCAGGGGAACTGGCCCTTCAGTGTGTCCGAGAGCAGGAGGTCATCGCTGAGGCCAGGACGGACCTTCAGTCTGGGGCTCCCAGTCTCTTCTTTGAAGATTCCCTGCCCTGCCCCCCGACTCCTTAGAAGCTTTCCCCACCCCCCCACCCCCAAGTTTAATCTCCCGCTCTCCAATCAAGAGGGGGAAATGCTACCCTATAGGATTGGGCAGATAGTACACACTGACAGGAGTTCAATGCAAAGGGGGAAATCTAAGTTTTACCCAATAGGAGTTATTTCCTCTCATCCGGGAGGGGTAACAGACTCTGAGCACCACTTTGCCTTCTCTGGGGCCACCGGGAAGAAGCAGGATCCACAGAGCCGCTCAGCCTCCTGGCCGGCAGGAGAGAGCTGGAATCCCAGCCTCGTCCCAGCACCAGCTGCAGGAAAAGCGTTGGGTCCTTCCTTCCAGAGAGGACAGCGAGAAAGGAGGCTGCCCCGGGCTCCCGGGGGAGCTGGCCCCGCAGGTCCTCGGCTCTGGCCCTGGTCTCCGGTCTCCCGGTGTCTGAGCGCTGCGGTGTGCACGCCCCAGGGTGGCCAGATGCAGAGGAGGGGGACAGCGGGAGAGGCGGGTAGGTGCAGCGCTGGGACTCGGCAGTTCTGGAGGGAGGTGTCCCTGGATCATCCTTCACTCTGGACGTCTTCCCCTTCTTCCCGAGTCCCCCTCCTCTCGGGGCTGTGGGGGAGGAGCATGGGACCCGGTTAAAGAGCCCCTGCTCCCAACTCCTGCTGCAGGTCTCACAGTTGCTGTCACCCTCTTGTCCGTGGTGCAAAAGGGTTGTTACTTAGAGGTAGTCTGAATTCAGAGGGAAGTGCTATCTCAGCCTGGCAGGCACCCCGCGGCTGTAACCTCTTCGTGCCCACAGCCCAGGATGTGCCAGGCATGAGAGAGGAGAATGCCAACAATAAATTCCAAAGATGAAGAAGAGAGGTGGAGGAAATATGCCAGATACAGCCCCCGGGAGAATGCTGTGACAGAGAGGAGCTGAGGATTGCATCTTGATCAAGCCTCATCTGGGGGGGGGGGGGGGGGGGAATCATCAGTTTCCCTGTTCTAACAAGGAAAGGGGCAGTTTGTTTGCTGGTTTGGTTGTTGTTGTTGTTGTTGTTGTTGTTTCTACAAAGGAGAAAGAGAAGGGAAAAATGCCATTACGTGATTGCAACAGCTGTTCCCATGGGTGCTGGATTTTTACTCTGCTATCCCATCTGCTGATCACAAAGGCATCAACTTTAGAAACAGATGTTGTGGAGACAGAATTTGGGGTACTTTCTTTGGGGATTCCACCACAACATTGGCAGAATGCTGGCAATCACCCCTTAAGAGGCAATACATCTACCAGGAGAAAGAGAACAGCATAACCAGCAGCAACCACCAAAGTACCCATATCTGTTTCTCCAGAAGGACCTTGACTGAAAGCCATTTGTCTATTGGAGGTTCCAACTGATCTGTGGGCCAGAAAAGCTCTCAAATGCCAGGAAAACCTTTTCTGTTAGAACTCCTTGCCAGCAAAGACATAGAACCCAATGTCTGGAAGGTCACCGTGGATGAATTAAGAAAGCAAGTCAGATGAAGCCTTGAAGTACTTGCAACAGTTAAGTGACATCACTTCTTAGCGTTGATGGTTTGAGAGAATTTGAATAACTGAGCCTCCATTTCTTGCATGGAAGATGTTCTTCTCCAAGTCATGAAATTGTAGGTTTTCAAAAATCATTCTGACAATTGAGCTCTAAGTGACAACTAGGGTCAGGAGAAGACCAATGCTCTTGATAACCACAGAAACACCCCACCCCCACCCCCTACCATATAGAACAGGATGGATCACCAAATAAATAGTTTCAATAATGCACCCTAGCAAAGCACTAAAAGAAGCTCTAAAAAGATCTAAGTTTTGGGGCTGGAGCAATAATATAGCAGGGAGGGTGCTTGCATGGCTCCCTGTGCCCATTAGGAGTGATTCCTGAGTACAGAGCCAGGAGAAAGCCCTGAGAACCACAGGTGTGTGTGTGGGGGGGGGGGGGGGGGGGGACAAGGGGAGGTGCAAGAAAAAATACTAAAAATACCCACAGTGGGTTGTAGAGATTTTTTAGGGCAGTCATGGATACATGACATTATTCATTAAACCCAAGGACTGTATGACTTCTACTATGAATATGGACTTTGGGTGGCAATGATGTGACCATGTAGATTAATTATCTATAACAAATACACCACACTGGCAGGAATGATTATGGAGGCAGGCTGTGCTTGTTTCAGGGGGAGGTAAAAAACATGTACCCTGTGAATCAAAAACTGCTCTGTAGGAGATTGTCCCCCAGTTCCAAGGTCGGGATAGTTCCCTGGGCATAAAATGTTGACATGCTTACTAACTGTCCTTAATGTCTCTGTCAACTTAAACAGTGGTATTGGGAGTTAGGTTGGCTAAACAATGTTGTATTGAATAACAGTCCAGCAAGCTTTTGAGCTCACTCATGGCTGCCAGGGTGACCCTAAAGCTTGACAGTTCATGTGTGTTTGTCTCCTTATGGGTCTGTCCCATTCTCAGTGACTGACAACCCATGCATTGAGGTAAATGTGCCATCAAATTCTGCTCTTTTAAAAAATCATTTTGTAGGGGGCTGGAGCAATAGCACAGCGGATAGGGCATTTGCCTTGCACGCAGCCAACATGGCCGATACAGGTTCGATTCCCAGCATCCCATATGGTCCCCTGAGCACCGCCAGGAGAAATTCCTGAGTGCATGAGCCAGGAGTAACCCCTGAGCATCGCCAGGTGTGACCCAAAAAGCAAAAAAATAATCATTTTGTAGATAGAGTGTTTGAAAAGAATTTTTATTTACTTTATGAATTTATTATCGATTTATAATTCTGTGGAATTTCACGAGATTTAGCTCTATTCATCTAATTGTGTGTAGGTGTCACCACATCTACAAATTTTTAGAAAGGGGATGGGGAAATATTGAGATTTGTGAGATTTAGAAAAACAAAAAACATTACTAGGAATAATAGAACACACATATGTATATACATGTACATATATATACATATATATATTACACTCAATTACTCTGACTTTACATGGTCCATAATTACTCTTACAATTGCATCTTATGATCACCTCTGGAGGGCTGGAGCGATAGCACAGCGGTAGGGCATTTGCCTTGCACGCAGCCAACATGGCCGACCCGAGTTCGATTCCTCTGCCCCTCTCGGAGAGCCCGGCAAGCTACCGAGAGTATCTCGCTCGCACAGCAAAGCCTGGCAAGCTCCCTGTGATGTATTCGATATGCCAAACACAGTAACAACAAAGTCTCCAATGGAGACCTTACTGGGCCCGCTCGAGCAAATCGATGGTCAACGGGAGGGCCTTTATTTACTTTTACTTATGATCACCTCTAGATATCTCAAGGCACTATTTCATTGTCAGTGAGGATGTTCAGACATAAATGTGGAGAATTTATGTAGTTCTTTTAAGAATATTAAATAGGAACACATTGTTCTTTGCTGTATCTAGCACTGTTCTAAATGTTTGCTATATATTACCTCATTCAATGGTCCTCCAAATGGAACAAGGAGGTTACTATTTTTATTCTCATTGTGCAATAAGGAATTTCAGAGATGGGAACATTTAAGTAATTTTCCCAGGATAAAATAACTGTCAAGTACAGAAATTACTCGATTTTAAAGTGCTTTATTCCATGATACTTAGAGCACATTGTAAGCCAAAACTAGGTAACTTCTTCTTCATGCTGTACAAAATTTCCTAGTGTAATAAAATTCTTGTTCTATTCCAAAATAAAGATGTACAAAACAAAATAATATAATAAGTTAGTTGGGGGTTCCAGGGACATAATACAAAGTTTATGGTGTATGTTTTGCATATGTCTGGCACCACTTTGATTCCTGGTATCACATGGCCCCACAATCAACTCTGGGTAAAGCCCTGAAGGCCCCTGAGCACTGCTGAGTGTGATCCTAGAGACTGGTTCCCACCCCACCCCACCCCACCACCCCCACCATACCACCCCTGCCCCACCACCACTGCCAGGGTGGCCCCAGTTATCCCTGATCCCTGAGGCCCCAAATAGCACTGCATCCTCAGACTCTTGCACTAAGCCACCAGCCAGTTGTCATAGAAACACTGGTGGAGTCCCAGGACCTCCTGAGTACCACTTGGGAAGTCCCTTGCCTCCTAAATAAATAAATAAGTTTAAAGTCTTTGCTTTTCAAATTTCAGATAAGTGTTTATATGCTAATTGGACCTGTAGCTGTCTTCTGCTGGGATGAACATGTTTTCCTTTTGCTCTGGACAACCAGACCATTGCCTTCCACTGCTATATGGTATTTCAGATGCTAAATCTGCCATATTTCACTGTCTGATGTTCCTCAGCACCAAATACCTGAACTGCTTCCTACACCCTGCTACTATAAACAACACAGTGATGACGCCACCTAATGGTTAGTCAACAATATGCCATCCAAGTTAGAACATGGGAAAATACACAAATAGAAATTGTACCAGGATGAGTGGCCTACACATGAAGAGAGGGATCTGTGCAAAATTTTCCCTAGCTACACTCCTAGGTGTAGAATGAGACAAAGATCCAAGAAAATTTGATTTCATCAAATGTTTTGAGTGTACCATTCAATCAAAAAAACAACTGGTCTGGCCCCTACGCATGCCAGGACAGCTCCTGGTACATGCTGTCCTACATTTGAGAAAATTTGTGGTTGATTAAACTTAAGAAATTGGATGATCTAACAAATATGTTAGTTTATGGTTTTGATTTGCTTGTCTTTAATTACTGGTATGTGGAATAGTACTCAAGAAACTAATAACCATTAAGGTGTCCTCTGCAGAATATTTGTCCATGGCTATCTGAAGACACAGGATATGTGTCCAATAGCCTTTGCCCAATTCCCAGTCATTTTTCCATTTTCTGACATTCTTGTCAGTTTTCAGTTTTGGGGGGGTGTTTTTT